AGCGAGCCTACGAGGCTGGACACGAGAAGCACTGCCATGTCTCCACAGCACACCAGGATGACATCGAGCGTTTATAAACACCCGGCTTTTAGTCCAAATCGCCATCAAACTCAGTTGGTGGGTAGTAATGTGGGAATACAGGCTCCAAGCGGGCCATCAGATGGGCACAATCCAGCCGTACCGCCTCACTCGCAAGGCCCAGAGAATTCAACGATGAGTACTTACGGCATGGGGAACCCTCCACTTCCACACTACAACCGGGCTAATATGAATAGGTCCATACCTCCGTCTGCTCACCACCCATATCATAACCAGTCCATTAATGCTCTCCACAATCTTGCTCCCAACACCAACTACCAGCAGCAGCAGGGAGGGTCAACCTACCCCTACCACGTGCCAGGTCAACCGCACCCTCATGGTCATAGCAATGTGTACCCACCTCATCAGTATCAGCAGCAGCAGCGCTACTATGCCCAACCCCATCCCCAAACTCAGGCCCATAACCAAGCCACGGGCAGAGGGGGTTACCCTCCAGAGGAGTGGCATCGGCCTCATTATCAGTCTCACCAGGCAATGCCGCACAATGCCTACTTACCTGTAGCCAGCGCCAGAGCTAATGGTCAGCTAAAGGAGAGCAGTGTCTCACCGCTGGGGTCTGAAGGCTCCAGCGGTACAAGTTTGGTTTCCCCAGGCCCGATGCCAGAAACAGGGACTCATCCTGGAGGCACAGAGGAAGGGAAGTGTGAAAACCAGCAAGCTGGCGGAGGCAGCAGCATCAATGGCAGTCCAGCAAAGCGGCCCCACAACGACGCCTCAGAGCAACCCGAAAGCCCAAAAGAAATCCTGGACCTCGACAGCCATAATGCTGCTGCTCAACGCCGCAGCATGCAGCATCCACATGCGTCTGTGGCGCACATGACGTCGGGTTTTGTGTACGACCCTCGAGCCTTACATCCAGGAATGCAGCAAGGCGTCGTCCATCACATGATGTCCCAGGCCCGTGGAGCTGGAAATGGATCCCCTTACGCTGGCCAACCGTACCCCGATCCACGACACTATGCTGCTCAAAGACCCCACTCACACCTGATGGAAGCGCTGCAGCGGCCCCAGCAGCTTCCCTATTCCCCTGGCCAAACACGCATGGTCATGTACAGACACCCCCGACCTGGGGGGCACTTTCAGGGCATGATGATTCAGCAGCGAGGTGTGGGACCAGAACGCTTCATACATCCAGGGTAAATTCTTACAGTTTATATTGTCAGAGGGTTTTTGACCGTTTAAATATGTTCTGTTTATTACCTGATATATTTATGTCAAAACAAAATGTGAAAATGTCCCCTTGAATCTCAGAAACTCTGGTGGGCGTTCCTTATCTCTGCTTTAATTTAGTTTGCTTGTTTTAAAGGTTAACACTGTAATAAGAAAATAAAACGACCACATCAGCCTCACAGTCTTAACCAAGCAGCATAATGTTGAGTCTGATTGTCCTACCAATGGCACTCGGACTGCACTAACAAGTCTATTTATTTACAGACAACAGATGATGGCTGCTCCAAGCGGCCTTGGCAGTAAACAGGGATTGTGATTAAAGTGAGTATAAAGACATTTCATAAATTGTTAAATTGTGTTTTATCCTGTTGATTTTTAGGTTTCCAGTCAAAACAGCAAGATGAATCCTGCCAGAGAGGCATTGTTAACTGATTGTTGTTGTTCTCCTTTCAGAGACGATGTTGTCAACGAACATCTGGATAAACCAGTGAGCCAAACCGCTTCTGAGAAGAGGAGACACTTTTTTCCGAATATATTTCCTACTGATATTCTGCCACTGTGCAACAGTTTTGTTCAGCAGTGGAAGTAAAAATCCAGCCAGGCAGCTGGTACTACAAAGTAGAATTAAAATGTGAAATGTTACTGAGCCTTGGAGAACAATTCTCTTTCT